TTTTATTATTTTTTAGTTGGCCAAATTATTTGTTCTTTCTATTGCTGAGTAGAGACAGCGTCGATCGCTCTGCTCAGGCTGGTTTCCCAACTCGCGGTGATCGTCAAGCGAATCCTCCTGCCGTCGGGCCTTGTCCCAGCGAGTGCTAGGAGTTACAGGGCGCTTGAGCCACCACGCGTCGAGTGTGCTTTTCGTTCACTGCTGTATACTCCAAGCACAGACAGTTCCTGGGCCACACACCTCCTAGTGCTTAGTAAGTATGCAACAGAATACTGTGTTGACAATGAAAAGAAGGTTAGAGATTAAATTTTAGACCAAATAATATCCCCTCGCACAATCGTGTATGGTTAGAACTTTGTGTGAAGTCAAAGAAAAGGTAATATTAACAAAGAGTGCGCAGTACTGGTCTCCAGGGAAAGATTTGAGCGGATAAGAAGTCTTCGTGTTTTTGTTTTTTTTTTCCATTATTTGAGGAGTGATTGTGGTTTTTTCTTGACATGGTGAGAAGGGCTGATGTTTTCCGCCCCGTCGCACCGCCTCGATTAATGTGTAGGGGTGGACGAGTAACTTTGAATAGAGTGTTTGGAACGTAGTAAACTAAGGCAACTCAGATTAAACGAGCTGAAAATTGGTATAGGGGCAAACAGAATTTTTTACTGTCTGAGCTCAGTAAATGGCAATCGAGCTCGAGTATTATATGAACCGCCTTGGTCGAATACTTTTATGCGTCTTGAGAAGTTAGGGGGGTGCCGTGCTCTTGTGGATTGGCGACGACTGCGAGGGGTTGGGGGCTGGGAATGTTAGGGGAATAAGGATGCGAGGGCTTGTAGTATCCTCAAGGGCTCACAGACTGCTGCTCATAGCAGCGACAACAGCGTGAGCAGCGAGCTGCTCTTGCGCCGCAATGTAGGTTTAGACAACAAATCAGAGATGTTTATGTATCGCCTATTTTTTTTGAGACAGAGCTCGTCCATCTGTTGTTGCCAGCTGTAGAGGTGGAGCTGCCACGTATGAGCCTAGCTCACAGCAACTTCAAACTCCTGGCCTCAGAGCGGTCCTGCGGTGCCTCAGCCTCCAAGCTTAGCTGGCGACTGACAGCATGTGCCACGCCTGAAAAAAAAAAAAAAAAAAAAAAGAATTGGGTAAAAGAGCTTCAACAGCATGGCCCACCTACTATTGTAGTTGCTATTGCTGGAAATAAGTGTGACCTTATCGACGTAAGAAAAGTCATGGAGAGAGATGCTAAGGACAGCGCCAACTCCATTCATGCAATTTTTGTAGAGACCAGCACAAAAAACGTGATAAACATAAATGAACTCTTTATAGAAATGAGAGGAAGAATTCCATCCACCGACGCCAACCCGCCATCTGGCGGTAAGGGCTTCAAACTCCGAAGACGGCCTTCAGAGCCAAAGCGAAGCTGCTGTTGACTGAGCTCTCAGTCATGAAGTGGGTGGTCCTGAAAGTTAACCGGAGGGCTGGGGGCCCTGCCACAGTTTTCACATAGCTGGTCTTGAGTCGACTTCATGCAAAAAGGATTCACAGAATTCACCAGTTCTGGTCTCTCTTTGAAGACTGCAGCAGTATTTCAGTCTGTGGACTTCTGTTATGTAAAGAATTTTCTGGTGTACAAAGGACTACATCGTTGGCTTTTGCCCTTGCCAAAAAGATATGTATAATTGTATGGATGGTAGGATTAAGTTGTTGAGTAGTTTTGTAATCAAGATTTTATGTAACATTTGTAAAGGGAAGATTAGCACTTTCGTGGTTGTCGAGGGAAAAAAAAGACCTTGTGGAAATTGCAATTTCCTTGGTTTCTGTTACCAAGGTTCGAGGGGGTTGTATCATTTGTGATACAACGTATCACTGTTGTATCATTTAAAATGTGATAGGATATCATAAGTGGAGAGATGGCAATTATTTGAAGCTAAAATGGGTTATTTATAGGACTGGTGGAAACAATTTCATCTCTGCCATCTCTAAAGCACTTTTCATAGAATTATATTAGCCTAGGATGCGTACAGTAAATTAACAATGATAACAGTAGGTGCCTAGCTCACTCTGGGTTTGCTTCTGACCCTGTCGTGTATGTGTCACCAGACACATTATTGACACCTTTGTAAATAAGCCCTCATGATCAAGATGGTGATGGTAGAGAAGCTGCCTGGAATAAATTGAATTGCATATGTTCCAAACTGACTAGTGAGAGTTTAAAAAAAAGAAAAAGTAAAGAAAGTATGTAAATGCTGTTAATTATTTAACCCAAATATTTTAGTGGGGAAAAACAAGTATCTGTTGCTTAGCATATGTAAAGTTGTAGTCTGTATTTATGAGACCATTGCTTAAAGATTATAAATTATGTAGATACATTAATAAATTTTAAAGTTTCATTCAAAAAAAATGTTTGACCTAATACACCTAAAGTATTTCAAAATGTAATCAATATAAAAATTATTAATGAGATATTTTACACTCTTTTCTTCTTACTAAGTCTCTGAAATCCAGTGTGCATTTTATACTTACAGCATATCTCAATTCAGCCTAGCTGCATTTCAGATACCCAGCCACATGTGGCTAATGGCTACTCTATAGGACAAGGAAGGTCTATGTTTCCCCAATTGTTCTAGTATTACCCTTTATAGTGCACACACACACACACACACACACATGTGTATATCAACCAGGGATTACATTTTTAATTTAGTTGTCATACCTCAGGCTCTTTCTTTTTTTTTTTAGAAACAGGGTCTTGCTCTGTTACCCAGCCTGGGTAACATAGCCTCCTGCACTGGAATGCAGTGTGCAATCATAGCTCACCACAAACTTGAACTCCTGGGCTCAAGCAATCCTCCCACCTTAGCCTCCCAAAGTGGTTGGATTGTAGGCATGGCACCCAGATGGGTATGTTTGGAAGTGGCACCAATAGGTTTGTTGATAAGTTGGAAATGGAATGTGAGACGGATAGTAGCCAAGGATGAATCCAAAATTTTTTACCTGAACGACTAGAAGGATGACAACAACTTCCAAGACAGAGAAACTGAGAAGCAGCAGGTTTAGGGAGGAAGACCAGAAACTGATTTGGACTGGTTAAATTTGAGAAGCCTCTTAGACATCCAAATATTGATATCAAGCTGGTGATTGATGAGTCTGGAGTTCAAGCGAAAAGTCCAGTTAAAATATATGGACATATAAAATAGGGAGTCCTTAGCATGTGGATGGTATTTAAGGCCATGAGACTAGTTTACCTCCTCTATGAAGTAGAACTAAGGAAAAAAAGAACAGATGCAAGGACTGAGTCTTGGGACACTTCAATATTTAGAGGTCATGAAAAAGCGGGGAAACTAGCAAAGGAAAACGAAGAGTGGCCAGTAGGAGAAAAATCGAGAGTATGATATCTCGGAAGCTAGGTGAAAAAAGCATTTCAAGGAGTTTCAAATGCCAAAGACTGAGTATTGGATTCAGAAGAATCAAGGTCATCGGAGACCCTCACGGGCAATTTCAGTGGAGTTATAGGGTGAAAAATCTTATCTGGAGTTCATCCAAGACAGAATGAAAAAAGATTCCAGATGGCAACTCCTTAAACAACTGCAGTATAAAGGGAAGCAGAGAAATAAGGTCGGGAGTAGTGGCTCACTCCTGAAATCCCAGCACTTTGGGAGGTTGAGGTGGGAGGATCACTTGAGCCCAGGAGGATTACTGAGCCACATAGCAAGACCCTGTCTCTACAAAAAAATTTTTAAAAAATATTTAAAATTTTAAAAATATTTTTAAAAATATTAGCGCAGCATGGTGGCATACACCCGTAGCCTCAGCTACTCAGGAGGCTGAGGTGGGAGGATCACTTGAGCCTAGGAGTTTGAGGTTACAGTGAGCTATGATGATGCCACTGCAGTCAAGCCTGGGAAACAGGCCGGGCGCGGTGGCTCACGCCTGTAATCCTAGCACTTTGGGAGGCCGAGGCGCGGATTGCTCAAGGTCAGGAGTTCAAAACCAGCCTGAGTGAGACCCCGTCTCTACCAAAAATAGAAATAAATTAATTGACCAACTAAAAATATATATACAAAAAATTAGCCGGGCATGGTGGTGCATGCCTGTAGTCCCAGCTACTCGGGAGGCTGAGGCAGTAGGATCGCTGAGCCCCGGAGATTGAGGTTGCTGTGAGCCAGGCTAATGCCACGGCACTCACTCTAGCCTGGGCAACAAAGTGAGACTCTGTCTCAAAAAAAACAAAAAACAAAAAACAAAACAAAAAAAAACACAAAAAAGCCTGGGAAACAGTGCAAGAAGATTGTGTTTCCAAAAAGACCAAAAAAAAAAAAAAAAAGGATTTGGTTGAGATGAAAAAATTACTAAGAGAAGAATTGTAGAGCAATAGCTTTGAGTAGGGTGAGGGAGTCCATTGAAACTGTTGCGGCAAGTGTTACAGCTAGTGTTATTCCCTCCTCTGGGGGATCCCTGTCACCCAGGAAAACCTGCACAGATGCACAGGGTATCTATAGGAGCAGGAGGAAAAAGCATACAGGTATAGACACAGGTAGGTGGGTGGCTGCATTTGTGAGAGTTCCAGAAGTCTTCTTTTGATTGCATCTATTTTCTCAGCAAAATAGGGTAAATCTATGATGTAGAGAACTCTGATTAGGCAACAAATAAACAGAGTAGGCATAATACCATGAAAGATCAATGGAAAGAGCCGGGCGTGGTGGCTCACGCCTGTAATCCTAGCTCTCTGGGAGGCTGAGACGGGCGGATTGCTCAAGGTCAGGAGTTCGAAACCAGCCTGAGCAAGAACGAGACCTCGTCTCTACTATAAATAGAAAGAAATTAATTGGCCAACTAATATATATAGAAAAAATTAGCCGGGCATGGTGGCGCATGCCTGTAGTCCCAGCTACTCGGGAGGCTGAGGCAGGAGGATCACTTGAGCCCAGGAGTTTAAGGTTGCTGTGAGCTAGGCTGATGCCACGGCACTCACTCTAGCCTGGGCAACAAGTGAGACTCTGTCTCAAAAAAAAAAAAAAAAAGATCAATGGAAAGAAGTTCATCTCATGTTGGAATCGTCAGAGTAGAATGGGCAAAATCCAAGTAGGCCCTGCCTAAGCAAAGGTGCAAAGACAGTAATCAGTTCAGTGTGTGTTAGGGGAAACCATTTTAAGTTGGGGCTTTGTACACCAGAGAAGTGGAAGTAAACTTAGTTTAGTTCAAATTGGAGAAGGCCTTCAATGCCAGACTGAAGAATTTAGACCTGTACCGCTTTCCCCTAATTTGGATATTGTATTGTTCAATGTTGCTAAGCGATGCAGTCCAGAGTTCTAGACTGTTAACTCCAGTTACTGCGAGTGGCATACCTGAAGCACAATGGCTAATAGATCATGTTTTTGTGTCCGAATCTGCCTTAACACATGTATGTGTTTTGTGAGGCTATGTCAGCACTTCTGCAATTTCTGGAGTCTCATTATTAAGGGCTGTTTTGGGAGAAAGGAAGAAAAACAAGTCCCTTCGGTTAACAGTATTTTTCACAAAGAAAAAATTGTGGTATTCGGCCGTATATTGAGGGACAAATCTCGACCCCTTGAACAGAGGGCCCAAGCTGCCCGGAAAATTGGACTGTTGACCTTCACAGGTACTGATTTAATCAGCTGTGCTAAAATAGGTGTTTCATAGTCTTTCTGCTTGTTTTAACACTGTAATTTAGTAATTTTTCTTGCCTCTGGTCTTAAAATTACAATAATATTTCCTTCAATTAAATTAGTTTTTTTGCCTTTGTACCACCAAAGATATTACTAATTATTTTCTCCTCAAAGATCTCATGTTTTAGGCCGGGCGCGGTGGCTCACGCCTGTAATCCTAGCTCTCTGGAAGGCCGAGGCCGGCAGATTGCTCGAGGTCATGAGTTCGAAACCAGCCTGAGCAAGTGTGAGACCCCTGTCTCCACCATAAATAGAAAGAAATTAATTGGCCAACTAATATATATAGAAAAAATTAGCCGGGCATGGTGGCACGTGCCTGTAATTCCAGGTACTCGGGAGGCTGAGGCAGGAGGATTGCTTGAGCCCAGGAGTTTGAGGTTGCTGTGAGCTAGGCTGACGCCACGGCACTCACTCTAGCCTGGGAAACAGAGTGAGACTCTGTGTCAAAAAAAAAAAAAAAGACATAAAAATCGCTGCCATTGTCTGCCCAAGGGAAGACCAGGCAGAGGAGGGAAGTAATGGACACACGAGGTTGGGTGGGCAGAGGTAATGTGGGGGACAAAGACCACAAGGTTAAAGACAGTGGTCAGAGAAGGCCTCACAGAAAATTACATTTGAGGAATGACCTAAGGAACAAATGGGATGAGCCACGTGGAATATCTAGCAAGAACATCGCAAGTAGGATGTATAAAGGCCTTCAAAAAGAGCCATGTGGCCGGGCGCGGTGTCTCACACCTGCAATCCCAGCACTCTGGGAGGCCCAGGCAGGCGGATTGCTCGAGGTCAGGAGTTCGAGACCAGCCTGAGCAAGAGCAAGAGCGAGACCCCGTCTCTACCATAAATAGAAATTAATTGACCAACTAATATATATAGAAAAAATTAGCCGGGCATGGTGGCGCATGCCTGTAGTCCCAGCTACTCGGGAGGCTGAGGCAGGAGGATTGCTTGAGCCCTGGAGTTTGAGGTTGCTGTGAGCTAGGCTGATGCCACGGCACTCACTCTAGCCTGGGCAACAAAGCGAGACTCTGTCTCAAAAAATATATATACCAGAGGCTATCCTGAGTTGGTATAATTCCAACTTAGTGATATGATTCTCACAGAGTAAAATGACCTGATATTTTACTTTTTTATTTTATGTGTTACACAGAAAATATCTTAGAAAAATCAATAAAAACTTAATACTCTTAAAACACCTACTAGGCAAGCCAATAGGTTGAGAAATAAAAATAAACCCCTAAGCCCCTTACCTGACTGAATGAACCACCTCTTGGCCCAGGGGTTCCCAGAGAACTCTTAAAACTGAGTCCCCAGCCATGATGGGGGGTTGGAGGTCAGACATGCCTCGTTGTACCCTCATTAACCACCATTAGGATTTCTTCCCTATGAGTTAAACAGAGCTAGCCTTTTGAAGACTTGCTGCACCACTGATTTCAATGAGCCACCTAATGCTGCTCCTCCCTTTTTGTGGTTTGGGCACAAATGACTGGCCTTGCTTCCTGATAAGGGGCCATCAGCCATGGAGGGCTTCTGACCAGCCTACAGAGCATGTGCAGGAAGGGTTTTCGTATCCTCTGCTTCACCTTTTGACATCAGAGAGCTGAAACTCCACCCTTAGCTTGTTACAGCGAGTGTTACAGCGGGTGGTGCCGAGAACAACCCGAGCAGCACACGGAGAGTCGGAGAATCAAAGGGGCCTCGCCACCAAATTCTGAGACCCGTCTACCCGATTTTTTCCACTTGTATTAAGTTGGGGTGGTCCAAAAGGTGGGATATCAGGTGACTAATGCCCGCCAGGTAATAGGTTAGTATTATACTGATGCGGGTCTTCTGTGAGAGGTGGGGGTCTCAGGTGGCTGATGTGCCAATAGATGGGGGTTTTCCTTATCAAGGTCATGCTAAGGCCGCCATTTTTGTACTTGTGACCTATGAAGGGCATGAAACTCAATTCCATATGTACAAGTTTCTCCTTTAATGAATATTCATGATTCCTCCTATAGTTTGCAAAATATGTATATTTGGCTACCCCACTCAGCATAAATTCCTGTTTCCCTTGCCTTTCCTTGGAAGTATTTGTTTCTGGTTTCTGTTAGAAGCTATTGCTTTCCAGCCTGTCAGATTGGCTACCCAGGCTGCAATCCTTTATGAGAAATAAAGTTTTCGTTTCCAAATTTACGAACCTCTTTATTCTTCAGTTGGCAAGGTACATTGGTGAAAGGCAACAATTAATGTGTACTTGGCTAGAAAATAAAGTAGTAAAGCATTTAAACATATACTGCTCTAATGATTGTCAAGTCCAAACTCCACTTTATTTTCCTAATAAATTTTAGGATATGTTGTCAACCTTAAATAACAAGATTGGAATATATGATTAAGTATAGAGTTTATTCAAACCCAAAGCTGGGGATGGCCATCTGGAAAATATGGATTCCAGTATAATCGGTTTGTTAGGTTTTAGTTTGAGACCATTGGTTCTTGGTGTGCCCATGGTCAAGAATGACCAGACACACCAAAGTTAGGCAAGCATGAAAATGAGGTTTATTGAGGAGACATAGGATGAAAGGGCAAGAGCAACATATAGGTTTACAGAGCATGGTACACATGCCATGGATGATGACCAGACCCATTGTCACAGCAGGACAGGCAAAAAGAAGGGCAAAGAGAGAGCTGGCTATGGCCTGCATCTTATTTTATAGTGTCCAGATAGAGACCTCCCTTGTGGTTCAGAGGTAACCATAGAACCACTTTGATTAGACAGTTGGGAGTCACGTGACCTGAGCCTTAACTACGTATGTGGGTTCTAGGTCACTTTCTGGACTTTATGGTAACCATGTGGGTTGGCCCATGGGCTAGAGAGTCCTCTGCATTCTTTTGCAGTTGGCATGCCAAGTTCTGATTGGCCGATTCATAGAGTATTTGCCCCTCCCCCAGGTATGAAGAATCAGGGGTGGGCAGGACCAGATGGGGACAACAGCACTCACTTTGGTCCCTAGGAGGCTTGGAATCCCTCACTATCTACCTAACAGGTTCAGTGCTCCAAAGCTAAAAATTAAGGTCTTGCTTTTATATAGGCAAAAGACAGAGAAATGTAGTAGGATTATAACATTTTTTTATACAAGGCTGGTTTATGAATTACAACAATTTAACCAGTTACAGTTTCTTTTTCATACAACTCATTTTCCTTTCCTTTCTAGTTTAAAAGAGTTTCATGAACATTCCATCTTAGATAATGTGATAGTCATAAAGTCTTTGAGAAAGGAAGGAGGGAAGTCAATCTATAATGAAGATCAACAGTGAAGAGGAAAAGGGTCTTCCCAGGTGCCCTTTAGCCATTTACAACATTTTACAAAACAATGTAGGTAGGAAGAAGGCTAATCTATAATCAGAGGAACAAAGGTTACAGATTCCTCCACTACAGCTGCCTATTTATGTGACTCGGGTCTCATAATCATATTACCTTAAGGTTCAAAATATTTTAAACTTCTAACAGCTTAGATTTTTTTTTTTTTTTTGAGACAGAGTCTCACTCTGTTGCCCAGGCTAGAGTGCCCTGGCGTCAGCCTACCTCACAGCAACCTCAATCTCCTGGGCTCAAGCGATCCTGCTGCCTCAGCCTCCCGAGTAGCTGGGACTACAGGCATGCGCCACCATGCTCGGCTAATGTTTTTCTATATATATTAGTTGGCAAATTAATTTCTTTCTATTTATAGTAGAGACGGGGGTCTCGCTCTTTCTCAGGCTGGTTTCGAACTCCTGACCTTGAGCAATCTGCCCACCTCTGCCTCCCAGAGTGCTAGGATTATAGGCATGAGCCACCACGCCAGGCCACAGTTTAGATTTGAATTACTTATTTTCACAATGTAATACAATTTTATAGTCCTCAATAAACATCTAATAAAAGTTCTGGCTGGCAGCTATAAGTGACTTAGATTGATTTTTTTTTCCTAAGTGGGAAAATAAATTACTTAGATGTAGTCTGATAGACTAAATCTTTCAAAGAAGGGTGTTCATGAAAGAAAACAGTAAAAGGAGTCCTTGGTGCCAAGATGGTTGGGAACCACTGGCGGAGAGCTAGAAAGGAGATGGGAAACTCAGGAGATACTCCCATATGAGGGACGGGTAGATGGTACCCTCAACACAAGGCAGGCTCAGTTCCCTGTCTAGCTGTATTCACCATCTGGGGAAAGAGCTAGCTAATTATAAAAGGATCAGAATTCTTTAGTTTGATGTTATTTAGCTTTAGCTGTTCTAGTGGGAAGCAAGGGAAAGGGCTTCTGCTCAGTCTTCAAGTAAAGCTTTAATGTTGAATAGTATATTCTCAGTCTATGGGGCTGTGGTAGTAAGAGAAATCCGAGTGAGATCAAAACACCAGTGGCAAGAATCTGACCAGCCATGTTAGCTACTCCTCACCATCTAAATAGTCTTTATCAGTGTCTTCTTGGTTAGTACCATGTTTCACTGAAAATAAGACAGGGTCTTATATTTATTTTTCCTCAAGAAGACACCCTAGGGCTTATTTTCAGGGGATGTGTTATTTTCCCCTCAAAGCCTCAGCTTGCAGCACACACGGGATGACTGAGACCTGACAGGGGGAGCTGACCTTGTTGGTGGGGCTGCCCGCACCTTTCCGGTCACCTCTGGGAGAGTAGCTGTCATGATGGGGCAGATGAGAAGGGCTGCTCATCTTCTTTACTGCTCCTGGACGAAATGCATGTGTTGTGCAGATACACTGCATGGCCACGCCCATCACTAGGTCTTATTTTCGGGGTAGGGCTTATATTGCACAAATGCTTAGAAATACTGCCAGGGCTTATTTTATGGGTAGGTCTTATATTTGGGGAAACATGATACCTCGTTGGAGCTTGAGATTTGAACTAAGAAGCTCCAAGGCTCAAGTATATATTTATAGTGAAAGTAGTCTAGAACCAAGCTCGGTCAGTAGACAAAGCAAGAAAAAATGTTGAGATCCCATTCGAAATCAAATCTGCAAAAGATTTGAGGCCAGAAGACTGTTGAGAGAATGGGACAGCCATGTACAGCAACTCAGGAAAACCTCTCCAGATCCAGATCTTAGCTTGGCTGCTTTTTTTTTTGAGACAGAGTCTCACTCTGTTGCCCTGGCTACAGTGCCGTGGCATCAGCCTAGCTCACAGCAACCTCAAACTCCTGGGCTCAAGCAATCCTACAGCCTCAGCCTCCCAGAGTGCTAGGATTACAGGCATGAGCCACCGCGCCCGGCCTTGGCTGCTTTTTTTCTTTTCTTTTTCTTTTTTTGGAGACAGAGTCTTGCTCTGTCACCCCAGCTAGAGTGCATTGGCATCATCATAGCTCACTGTAGCCTCAAACTCCTGGGCTCAAGCCATCCTCCTGCCTCAGCCTCCCAAGTAGCTGGTACTACAGGCACATGCCAACACGCCCAGTTAAGTTTTCTATTTTTTGTGGAGATGGGGTCTTGCTCTTGCTCTGTCTAGTCTCCACCTTCTGTCCTCAAATGATCCTCCCGCCTCTCCTCCCAGAGTGCTAGGATTACAGGTGTGAGCCCCCAGGCTCAGCCTGCTCTGCCTTGATTTGCTCTTTGCTGTAATGCTCTGGTATCCTTCCATTTTTTCCAGTTTTGAAGGCAGAGAGTCAGGAATGAGACATGAGGGCAATTTGCTAAGTGTCCATCAGGGAGGAACCTTGGGCAGGCAGAACCCTTCCCATGCTTTTCATGTCACTCTGCTTATTAATGCGTACTTTCTCATCTTCACAGCAGCAAAGGAGGTGGGGAAAAAGAAATAAAAATGTCAAGTATCCAAAATGTTGCCTATATGGCAACAAGAATCTATGAACACATGAGACTCCAAAGTATTACTAGATACACTAAATACTTCTGGAAATGCAAATACCTGTTTTACAGGAGGACCACCTACTTCGAGATTTGCAACTGAGTACATGAAAGAAGTAGCTAACTTGCTGCAAAATGAAGAAATCACACCAAGAATAAAGATCCTGCTGATCCAGAGTATAGCATGTTGGTGTTACCTAAACCCTGTCAGCCAGAAAAAAGCCCAACATATGCAACTTATTCCTACTTTCATCCGTTTTTTGGAAAGAAGATCCAACTCTACTAACCAACGTGAAATAAATGAGAACCGCCTCGTTAAATTTTGGACTTGTTATGCTCTCTCTGTCATGACATGCAACAACTTGTCTATCGTAAATGAGCTTAGAGAGCACAATAGTCTAAAATATTATTTGCATGAGTTGGCTTATGAAGTTTGGTTTGGATGGCCCGAGAATTTTGCAGAGGTGCTGTATTTCCTAATTGGTCTTCACAAGAATTAGTTTCTCCAAATCCAGTTATATGATACAACTATCTGTGCTATGATTGTATTACTCTGGAAAACTAAAATAAATAATAAAAAATCAATATATTAATTTTCAGTGTTTTCTTTTGTAGTTGAAGAGTTCTATGTAAATTTTCATATAGTTAGTTAACCGCAATAACCAAACTTCTGAGAGGCACCTGCTATCTCAGTCTATTGGCCTTCACTGGGTGGTGAGCAAGGTTGGGCTGAAACAGGTTCTCATAATACTACCTGCTTCTGTGTGGTTAAAAAAAAATCTATTGAAAGTGGAAACAAAAATTCTCATTAAAAATTAAGTTCAGGCCGGGCGTGGTGGCTCACGCCTGTAATACTAGCACCCTGGGAGACCAAAGCAGGAGGATCGCTCAAGATCAGGAGTTCGAAACCAGCCTGAGCAAGAGCGAGACCCGTCTCTACTATAAATAGAAAGAAATTAATTGGCCAACTAAAAATATGTAGAAAAAATTATCCGGGCATGGTGGTGCATGCCTGTAGTCCCAGCCACTCAGGAGGCTGAGGCAGGAGGACTGCTTGAGCCCAGGAGTCTGAGGTTGCTGTGAGCGAGGCTGACACCACGGCACTCTAGCCTGGGCAAGAGAGTGAGACTCTGTCTCAAAAAAAAAAAATTAAATTCATAAAATGGGAATTCATCAGAAGATGCATTACATATATAACTCTTAGAAGCAATGGTGTGTTTGGGGAGTTATTAGATGACTAATCTAAGCTAAGGCACCCAGAAATGCCAAATCCTAGCCCAACCCATAGCCACTATTTCAGTACAGGACTTTCAGTTGTCATATTTTTTAAATTTATTTTATATATATATTTTTATAAGAGACAGGGTCTCACTCTGTCACCCAGGCTGGAGTGCCATGGCACAATCATAGCTCACTGCAACCTTGAACTCCTGGGCTCAAGCAATTCTTCTGCCTCAGCCTTCCAAGTAGCTACAGGCATGTGCCACCATGCCTGGCTAGTTTTTTTAAATTTTTGTAGATATTGAAGGATCACAAAACTACACTACTTTTTTGTAGCCCCCTCTGTGAAAGGTATAAGACTTAACACTTAAAAGCACAGCTCAGTCAAAGCAAGTCTGTGAAAGATGAGAAAGTACATAATTCAATCTATGAAAGTTGCAACTTAAGTGTTAGTATAGTTGGAGAAACAAACAGCATACAAAATAGCCCTTTATAAAATTAACAAAGGGCCAAAAAGTGGGAATGGTGGTAGGGGAAATACATATAACCAGCCATTATTCCAAGCTTGCTTTCCTATTATTGCTTACTACTCAGTAATCATATAGCTGATGGACATGAAGATTCTTAGCTTTCTTCATTGCTCGCATAGATAACATCACCCTTGTGAAACCTAAGGCTAGTTTTTGAGATATCTTCCAGGCCCTGCATTCCAGAATGAGTGACCCACCTAGACCTGGGTTCAGACCAAGGAACTGACTCAACTGGTCTTGCAACCCCCACCCAGGAAATGACTCAGCACAAGGCAATTTGTATACCCCATGGTTTCACCCCAAACCTAGACAGTCAGCAGACCCAATTGCCTAGCACTTTGCCTGCCAAACTATCATTAAAAACCCTTTCTGCCAAATTCTTGGGGAGACGGATTTGAGAACTTCCTCCCATATCCTCACATGGCACCTGTGATATTAAACTCTTTCTCTGCTGAAACATCGCTGTCTCAGTGTGTTTGCTTCCTCTTGAGCAGCGGAGAGTTAACCTGGGAAGGCTGTAACACATACCCTTTAGGCACTTTTACATCAATATTATTTTATTTTTGAGACAGGGTCTTACTATGTTGCCCAGGCTGCAGTTGCCATGTTTTGGGCTGAGGTTGTTGCCTGGTTACCAGAGTATGATCTTGTTGCACATAGAGCCGACTGGAAATTCAGGGGAATTAGCACTCAGTGGGAACAGCCCTCAACACCACCGGCAGGAAGGTCTGGATGGAGATGGAGATGCCATGTGTTCAGACACATAAAGATAACCTAAAGTTGGGTGGGTTCTTAGGTTTTCATAAAAAGAATTTCACTCTGATTTGGCTGATAGAGAATACATAACAGAACACCTGCACTGAATGTTTGTATTGACCAGCCTCATCACAAGTTTTATTACAAAAAACATTGGCCAACCATTGTAGCTCACATCTAGAATCCCCAGTACTTTGGGAGGCCAGGAGTTCCAGACCAGCCTGGGCAACATAGCAAGACCCCATTTCTATAAAAAATAAAAAATTAGCCAGGCATACTGGCATGTACCTGTAGTCCCAGCTACTCATGAGGCTGAGGCAGGAGGGTCGCTGGAGCCCAGTTCAAGGTTACAGTGAGCTATAATCAGGCCATTGCACTCCAGCCTGGGCTACAGAGCAAGATCCTGTCTCAAAAATAAATAAAATAATGTTGATGTAAAAGAGCCTAAGGGATATGTACCTGTTTGTTTCTCAGCTACATTAACACCTACCTCTAGCTTTAACTGCACCACCAAGGATTGGATTATGCACTTTCATCTTTCACAGCCTTGCTTTGACTAAGCTGTGCTTTAATGTTAGGCTTCTACCTTTCACAGAGGGGGCTGTAAGAAATTAGCGTAGGCCGGGCTTGGTGGCTCACACCTGTAATCCTAGCTCTCTGGGAGGGCCAAAGGGGCAGATTGCTCAAGGTCAGGAGTTCGAAACGAGCCTGAGCAAGAATGAGACCCGCGTCTCTACTAACAAAATAGAAAGAAATTAATTGGCCAACTAATATATATAGAAAAAATTAGCCGGGCATGATGGCGCATGCCTGTAGTCCCAGCTACTCGGGAGGCTGAGGCAGGAGGATCGCTTGAGCCCAGGAGATTGAGGTTGCTGTAAGCTAGGCTGATGCCACAGCACTCACTCTAGCCTGAGCAACAAAGTGAGACTCTGTCTCAAAAAAAAAAGAAAGAAATTAGTGTAGTTTCGTGATCCTCACTTGTATTTATTGTAGGAATGTTGTGACGGATGTTAATAACATCATCTTATGGGGTCCCCTTCAGGAGGATGGGGAGTAGATTTTCTCAGCCCTTAGAACCAGAAAAATCTGTGGTTCTGTTGAGCAACCATAGGTTTCCATCCTTCATGGATTTTGTGAATTGTGGAATGCAGTTTCTCAACTAGACTCCAGTTGATAGGAGTAGACTAAGGGCTGGAATTCAGAAGCCCCATTTAGAGACTGGGTGACTGTCAGGGATTACTTTCTTAAAATGCTTTTCAAATTAAATTTTTATTTCTCTCAAAGTTATACACATAGTTTAAAAAGTCAAATAATGCAAAGCCTCAAGTGAGGGGGAGGCTACCAGTCCTCGGTAGCCCCTTCCTCATTCATACTTCCAGAGGAAACCATTTGAATTCTTTAGTTTCTTCAGGTATTTGCCCCTATATTTCTAAATAATTTACGTATATTACTAATTCTTTACATTTTTCAATTTTAGGATTCTTTTTGCTTAACATAGATGAGGACTTGGCATTCTAACACTCCCCTTGCCTACCTCCACTTGTCCTCCTCTTCCTCTTTCAACATAATTATGTCACAGTTGATTAAAACAATCAGATTATTTCACTATTTTTCATAGCCAAGTCACATGGTATAGTAGGGGATTATATTTCCTTCCTCGTACAACTATTTTCTCTGGAATTCTGTTGCATTGTTTTTTGCTTTATTTTCTGGATACCTATCACTAATTTATTCCCAAACTTTCCTCTGTATGTTTAACATTTCTCAATATAAGCACACACATTGTTGGCTTTCTTTATTCTGTTCCTTGTACTTTTTCCTCATCTTCTGTAGACTCCAGCTTTGTCAGTATGGGATTATGTATCTTATAGTTTACTGTCATTTTAACGGAGTTTAGAGAGAGGGAAATTAGTTATGTTCAATTAACATGTTTAACAAGAAATTGATGAAGGCCTCTCTTCTGACAATGCTTAGAGCAGCGGTCCCCAACCTTTCTGGCACCAGGGACAATTTTTCCACGGACTGGGAGTGGGTGGGGAGGTGAAGCTCAGGCAGTGATGCAAGCAATGGGGAATGTCTTTGCTTACTCACCCTCTGCTCCCCTGCTGTGGGCCCACCACCCATTCCTAAGTTTCATGGAAGACAATTTTTCCACAGGCCGGGTGGAGAGTGGGAAATGGTGGGAGCTCTGTGACCTGGTCCCTAACGGGCCACAGACTGGTACTGGTCCATGGCCCAGGGGTTGGAGACTGCAGGCTTAGAGAAACTTTGGTTAACATTTATCTACAGAAGAATAGCTTGTAAGACAGTCTAGACACAATGTTTTATTCAAATTCTATTTTGGCCTGGCACCTTTTTAAGTTAAAGGAGGTCAAATACAAGGTTCAGATTGGGGCCCTGAGGCATTTTTATGCTAAGCCTTGAATTTTAAAGCAGTTTACCAAAGTTTTAAGTTATTTTCCTTGCTGTCCCTTCTAAGCTCTTCTCTCCTAACACTTGTGTTTTCCCTGAAGAAATCAGAGATAAAGATTTGAATGCAAAGATGTTATCTGAGAGGTGATATTAGGAACTAGCAACAGAGAAGGGAAGGAAGCCAACAAAAAGATGTGTTTTGAAGAAGTTACCACCATAGGTACATGGAACTTTTAATCCCATGGGGAACCATTCTGGTAAATATACAACACATACCTCAGGGTTATTTTAAGAGGTCCCAAAAGCTCAGATATTTATACACCAATTCCTATCCTTCTTGATTGAGCTAACAACCCAATTAGCTAAAACCTAAAATGAAACTGAAATATCTTGAAGGTAGTAAGGTAGGAAGGGAATTTTTAAACAAAGCAAAGGTGCAAGGGCACCTAAGGCAGTGTGGTGAATGTTTGCCACTTTTTGGCTCATTATAATTCTTAACACTTCAACTATTTGGGGGGAATATCTTGCCCATGGTATACAGTCTTAAGAGAACTGCAAATCAACTTTCCCCAAGAGTGGTAACCTAAGCCAGGCTATGCCAATCGGATTGTTTCAGGGAACTTTGAATTTTATGTAAAGTAATAAAATAGAAAAATCATCTCA